GTGTGTGTGAGTGTGTGTGTGTAGGTGTGTGTGTGTGCGTGTGTGTGTGTGTGCTTTATATGTGTGAGTGCGTTAGTACATTAGTGTTATACTGTGTGTGTGTATGTGTGTTTATGTGTGAGTGTGTGTGAGTGTGCGCGCGCGCGCGCGCGCGCGCGCGTGTGTGTGTGTGTGTGTGTGTGTGTGTGTGTGTCCACGTTCATTTTTCTGTCTCTGTCACCTAACCTTTACAGTGCCATTCTCACCTTATCTTCCAGACAAAAAGAGAGACAACCTAGCTCTGTAGCTGTGATTTCCGCCATATTCGCACAACAGCCTGTAAACAGTTGTTGCATAAGCAGCAAAAACATCCTATCTATAATACTGTACTGCTGCAGATAAAACCTTTTACCTCTATTCACGCGAACTGCAGCTCATCAATGCAGTTGTTTGAACAGTTCCAACGAACCACATCTCTCTCTCTCTCTCTCTCTCTCTCTCTCTCTCTCTCTCTCTTCCCACCCTTAGCTACTTCTCTCACCATTTCGCAAGAACGAATTCTCGGGTCGAGTGGGCCTACATAATCGCTGCTCTTCGTGTTACCCTTTCCATCAGAATAGACAAATGCAGTGAAAAAATGTAGAAACACAACGCGAATTCACCTAATAAAGATAGCGCATGGAAGCCAATTCCATAACTGTTTACAAAAACAACATCAGTTCTATCAGAACCGGATCATGGCCATACTTTGTGTGCGTCCTTATAGATAAACAAGCAAAGACAAGACACAGGTGAAAAGTTTTCACACCAAACCAAGACGTGTTCTTTGCAGGAAAAAGTGCACTTTTGCCTTGCATGTATTGAGGTAAGTGGGTGTAGGACATTTTACATACTTTACTTTTTCGATTCAGCGGCCAACTGGGTTATAGCCCATCTGCCTATGCGTTAGAAAAAATGTACTACATACAGTATATGGTCTTCAGTTGTATATATGTGACTCAACTGCCTTGTTTGTACACCATAGATAGATAGATAGATAGATAGATAGATAGATAGATAGATAGATAGATAGATA